TGTCCCGGTATGTTGCACATATAAAAAGCAACAGATTGCCAAGTTCTAAGAAAAAGAAAAAGGACAGAGAAAACATTAAAATTCCACCCTCGCGCTAGCATCTGAAGGCCTCATTAATAAAGAGATTTCACATTACCATGCGTCTGTTCAAAATGTGGTCAGAATAAAGAGGTGGTAGTGGACAAAAAAAGCAAAATGTGGTCAATGATGACGTCAATTATGTGTCTGTTTTCCTATATATTATAGGTGATAACCAATCAAAATAGGTGTATAATTGAGCTTAAAATATAATACAATGACACTTTTAATGATGACAAAATGTATCAATGAACAGATAAGGTAATAAAACACAGCGACAGGTCCATCCAAACCTTACCAAAAAAGAAAATAAAACAAAACAGAACAAACAAAAACAACACCAAAAAATTACTAAATACTAAGTAACACTTGCTAAAGTAATCACCTGTAATTGTTGAGCTCGAATTATGATGTAAAAGAATACTGTAGCACACAGCTAGGACACAATTTCCAACAGTCCAGTCGCCCTTGCGGGCGATATCCGCTTTGTCAAGGATTTGAATCAAAAAACGCATGGTTGGCTACAACAAACACAGAACTGGTGTCATTACTTGAAAAAAGAGAACTCTCGCGTTGAAATAGTATTAGTAGCAGGCAGTGTCGAGGGCTCGATGAGAAAGTTGGCGACAAAGCCCTCGCCTTCCATTCCTTTCAAGGCTTCGCTGCCGTGGCAATTTCCCGGTAATCATGGGTTTAAACCGTTCAAATTAGGTACATGTATGTTCAAAGGCGAACAACAAATTACATTACTTACTGAAGGTTGTATATCTGAACCTCTCATTGCAAGGGAAAGTAATTTGAGGTGATGCGTTAAGTTTGGTAGAACAGACTCCACTGGCTGCGACACTACATGGTCACTCAGAGATCGCAGTAAATCGGTAGGAAGTTTACTGTTAATGGCAAAATATAGATATCATAATTATTAAGATGATCTGTTAATAACTACGACAAATAAGGTAATTGGCGTTTGGGATTCGAATTAGGGCAACAATAAATTGCACTTTTTAAACAAACTTATAAACCTCTACAAAGTAGTTTGAAAATCTGTGCAAGAGATCGTTCGATACACATGCATGAAAGAATGGACCAAAACATGAAGCTAGGTCAGGGAACTTTATCTATGCAATAACTCGCGAATTATTGATGAGCAAAAACTGTCACAAGCAAATATCAAGATACAGATACAAATCACCTAAACTAACTAAAACAGGAATAACAACAACGGAACAAATTTCGATTGAGCGTTGCGAAACAAAAAAACACGGTAATGGCAACAAACAATCAGCACAAAGGAAAATATCACGAGGGGTGAATGAGAGGTAAAAAGAAGTCATTTACTCAAAGCGCAGGAAACGCATGTAACCAAGTTGAGATTGGTTTATATTTTGCTTCTGATTGGTTGAGAGGGAGGTAAGAATTTCCTAGACCAATCACGAAGCGTATTAGGGTGAGAGTGATCATCTCCCAAGAAACGTCTAGACACTAGACTGCACACATGCAGC